CAAATTGATAAACCAATTATTAGCTTGTTTCGATATAAAGCATATATTTTCTTTTGATTAATATGTAATTTGTTGGATGATAATTCAACTTCTTATTTTTTACAAAAAATCAAAGTGATTTTTCAGATTAATGCATAATTAAATGTCTCAAAATTTAAGCAAAATAAAGTCATTACAAAATTTTATCATATCTTTATCCAATGCCATCTGTTCTATTTTTTTTAAATAATCGATCGTGAGCGAACGGTAATAACCATAGAAACATAAACATAAATGTCTATTATATAAAATCGTTAATAAAAATTTTTTTTTCTCTCGTTCTTCTTTTGCATTAATCGAGTAAAAGTGACAGAGCTCATATATAAATAATGACCACATTCGCTCCTCCTTCATTGCTCGATAATCGTTATGCAGCGATAGCCGAAACTAGTGTATTCACTTATGACGATGATGATCTTGTTAATTATGCTGATTTTCTTCGGTAAAAAGAAAAAACAAAAGTTATCAAATAATTGTTTAATTTTTCTTAATATTTAGAAAACATGGACGTTATATGACAAAAGCAGGTTATGTTGATTCATCTCGACGTGTTCGTTCACTTCATCGACAACAAGATGATTTACTTCAATCACAACATCAAACATCACCATCACGTGGTGGTTTACTTGCTTCTATTAATAAATCTCCTTTATCATCATCAGCACCACCACCACCACTTTCAACAACACCAAAAAAACTCAAACAATCTACTGGAAATGAATTACCTTCTGTTATATCTATTTCAAAAAATCTTGAAAATAAAAAAAAAGAACATGATAAACAAATGAGACTTATTGAGGTTTATTTAAGGAAAATAAATGTATTTTAAAATTAAACTTAATTTATATGTATATATATATATATAGGAACAAATGATAAAAGCTAAACAAACTGAACGTGAAGGAAGACGTTTAGAAAGTGATGTTAAAAAAGAACAACGACATTTACATCATACACTTCAAGAACTTGATATTGGTAAGAAAAAACAAATTTCAATTTTTATGAAATATCTGTTTTTTTCCTTTTTTTTTTTAAGATACAAATAAAAAATATTTTGATGCTGAAAAAAATCTATCAAAGAATCTTGAAGAAAAAGATAAAATTGAAAGAGAATTTTTAAAAAAAAAAGAACAGGTAAATTTTTATGAATATGAAAATAAACATGAATTTGATCATTTTCTATGAAGCCATATAGAAGCAAATCTTTTTGTCGGTTTCGCAATGAATAATAACTTTTAAATATATATGTTATTCAGTGATTCATTTAATGGATTCCGCATAACAGACAAGCAAAAATGTTTTCACACTTTCCAAATATCCTTAAGATTTGGTTTTAGTCTGATTTAGTGGGGAAGTTTTTTTATGCTAGAAAAACTTTTTTTGAATACCATCGCAGGAGCGGCAGCTTCTCAGTCGCGAAAGACATCTATGGTTATTAGTAATATCGTTCCAAAGAAAAAAGATTGAAATTAATGCTTCGCGATGTTTTTGAAAATCATGCGTTTTAAGTGATAGACTTGGGTGTCTAGGAGAGATTTACTTCTATGATATATTTCCCACTTTCCGAGGTTTTTCGAGAATGATCAGGCGAAAATTTTTGAAACTTTCAGGGTAGATAGATCTCAATGAGTAGAATACAAGTTGTCATAAAGTCAAAATTCCCAAATGCTTTCTTCCCGAAGATCCTGGGCCAAAACTGACCTAAGGTTTTTCTTCTCCCGCAAACACCCACCCTAAGTTGTTTTTGGGCTGAAACTAGGAACAAATTTGGTTACATATTTTTTTTCTTTTGAAAAATATTGTTCCAGAGATTCAGGAGAAGCAAAAAACTGGAGGGGCAGCATCAAAAAAAATCATTAAAAAAGCTTTTTTCCTTAGAATGGTGCTAATTTTGTAAAATCTGCCAAACTTCGTAGATACAATATTTTCAGACGAAAAAAAAATTGCGCATCCGAATTTAATCGAAGTACTCATAGAAAATGTTTGAACTCAATCGGTCGTACTGTCTAGGAGAAAAGAGGAACGACTTGTCCGAAAATTTGCTTTTGAGAAAATCGCAAAGGAAGTTGTATTTTTTGGCATAAAATTGAGTTTTTTTTTTACATGCAAAAAGGTAGTGGGAGTTCCTTAAGTTGAACAATGAACTTTTCATTATTATTTTTTCTTTGTTTTGACAGTTGGATAATTCAGTAGATGATAATATTTTTTGATTTTACATTGATAACGAATAACAACAGACATTGTAAATAAAAATAATTATGTGATTTGATTAACTTTTTTTTTTTCTTTTTGTTTTTAATAGCAAACAAAACAACGAACTGATTATACGATTGATTTATTACATACTAATAAAGATAAAGATCGTCAAAATATTCTTGTTTGTAATGATCTTGCACGAAAATATCGAACAAAAACAAATCAACTTGAAATGAAACATCAACAATTAACAAATCTTCATTCGGATTTTGAAAATAAAGTTCATCAAAAAGAAGTTTGTTTTTTTTTTCAATTTTTGAAAATTAATATATTAAAAAGAAAAACAAAAGAAATATTTATTAATATTTAGTTAGAAGAAAATCGAATTAAAAAAGAATTAGGTGAATTAGCTATGGCACTTCATTTAGAATCTCAAAAAGCTAAAAGTGATATGAATCAATTTTTAACGTATATTTAAAATCGCAAAAAAAAACAAAAAATTTATTATCTAAATAATTAATTTATTTTTCTAGTGTTATGAATCGTGATCGTACTCAAACAATTAAACATGATCTTGAACAAAAACAACAATTTGAAGAACAACTTAAGTAAATTTTACTCGATGGAAATTATCTCAGAAAATCGAAATATTTTGTTTTTATTACATATTAGTCAAACAAGTATACATGTAAAAAATTATGATCTTGAAAGACGACGTCTTTCAGCTGATGTAACACTTCATCGTTCAATGCTTGATCTTAAACAACGTGAAGGTACCTAAAAGAAGAAAAGAACAATTGTTTTTTATTTTAATTAATTATTAAATTAGCACTTCGTCGAATTGTTGATACAAAAAATCGACTAGAAAAAATTTATACTAAACAACGAGAACTTAATAAAAATGCAGCTGTTGCAGAACAAGATCGACGTGCAACTGAATTAATAACTAAAATGGCTGTGTGTATTTTTGTTTCTTTTTTATATGTTGATGAAAAATATTTGGAAATTTAGGATATTGAGAATCGTCGAACAAATTTAATGAATCAATATTTAAATGAAAAAACCGAAAGAAATGAAGAACGTGAAGTTACTGGAGCAAATAAAGCTAAAGTGCGTCATGCTGAACATGAAATACGACAACATGAAGATCATTTAAGACATTTTCAAGTAAAGAATGATGATCAAACATCTTATATATATATATATATTTTTTCCTTTGTCTCTTTGTATAGAAAACTGTAAATAAAAATGAAGAAGTTGCACATGATTTACGTAAATCAGTTCAAGAAGCAGATATTGAACGACGTAAAAAAGAACAAGAAGTACAACAATTAAAAGAAGAATTAGTTCGTAAAAAACGATTAGATGCTATTCATATATGTGAAGAAATAGCTAATGCTGAACGAGAAGAAAAAGAATTAGAACAACAAATAATAAAAGAAAAATCTAAATTAGATAAAGTAATAATAATAATATACCAATAAATTTATTTAATTGAAATATTTATTTTTTGTTTTTTTTTAGTTACATGTAAAATGTGAAGATAATTATTTACGTTTATTAAAACAACGAGAACAAATACGTGAAACTAAAAATTTATTACAAACACATCAACGTGAACATGAACGTCTTTTACGTGTTCATGTTCGATCACAATCCTTACAATCACTTAATAATATATAATTAACTTTATTTTTTTTTGTATGTTCACCGGTGTTTTTTCACTAATCAAAAAAACAAACGAGTCCCGTGCCTTTTTTCATTCACTAATAAGATAAACAATATATTTGGTTTTTTTTGACATTTAAGAAAAGATCAATGACAAGTTATGTTGTCTATTCTTTACTGAAAACAAAAATGGATTTGAGCAATTCTACGAAAGACTACTATCAGTGATCTACACTAGTTGAAACTTCCTCGTTTATAAAATCTATTTTTTTATATTCATACTACACTGTAGAAAAAAAGCTTTCCGAATCACTTAGAGCGTATACCAGTTGATAAAGCTTGGAATTATGAATCTACCAAATCCCTCCAAGCTATTCTGGATATAACATCATGAAGATGAAATGCAAAAATTTTTAAAGTGACCAAACGCTCAAAAAAATTAATGTTCCGAAAAATGGCATTGTGGTAAATGCTTGAGCTTTTGACTCAGAATTTCAAGCTTTATCGACTGGTATAAATCCTTAGCAGAGATGGAACTGATCGTCTCAAAAATTCGCACCAGCACTGGATCGCCGTTACCACTTCTAGCTATGACACAAAAAATTAGAGAATTGTTTATGCGAAACGTATTCAAATTTCTTTTCGTGAAATTTCATTATATATTTAGTGTGCAATATCAATTAAGACCTATAAGAACATTGCACGAGTTTCGATTAGAAAAAGAGGAAAGCAGAAAAGTTAGACCAGCCGATTTCAAGTTTGTACCAAACTCTCGATTGCCGGTACAGATTCCATCTCTGATGTCTAGTACAACAGCACTTAGAGTGTATTCTATCACTACCAACAAGAAACCCTTTTGAAAAGTATAAGTACGACCTCTGTCAATGTGTTATTTTATTATTGGATCTTGTCTATTCTCGAATACTATGCAAGTCGTATCATCTTCAATTAATAGAATTTGTTATAAAAAATAAGTGTGAAGTTAGATGTTTGTTGACTGATAACATCATTGAGTTCTTTATTTATATCGTAGTTATTATATATCGTCATTGTGTGTGTTTTTTTTTCTTACTCGAAATTTTATTTAGAAAAATAAAATGAGTACATCTTATTTAAGCAAAGGCGCTGTTAGCGCTGGTGTTGGTTTACTACTCTATGTTGGTATGTATTGAATTTATTTAAAAAAACAAATAATAAGAATAATTTACTTTATAGGTTTAACTTATATGTTAACAAATTATGGTTTTCGATTTGATGTTGGCTGGTTTCTTCTATCAATTTCACCTTATCAATGGGCATTAATTGGTATTGCTCTAGCTGTTTCATTATCTGTTCTTGGTGCTGCTTTGTAATTAAAAATTAAATTTAATTAAAAAGGATTCATTTCTTTTTTCATAGAGGTATTTTTGCAACGGGTGTAAGTATATTAGGTGGTGGTGTAAAAGCACCACGTATTCGAACAAAAAATCTTATTTCAATTATAATGTGTGAAGCTGTTGCTATCTATGGACTTATAATGGGTATTGTTATATCTGGTTCGATATCTGTAAGTAAACGAATGATGATTATTATTATATATTTAATTTATTAATTTGTAAATTTTAAGAGTTATTCAACAACTAAAATAGAAGATTTAGCTCTTAAATATCGTGCTGGTTATAAATTATTTGGCGCCGGTTTATCTGTTGGTTTATGTAATTTATTTTGTGGTATTTGCGTTGGTCTTGTTGGATCCGGTGCAGCTTTAGCTGATGCTCAAAATTCATCATTATTTGTTCGTATTCTTATTATTGAAATATTTGCTAGTGCAATCGGTCTTTTTGGTCTTATTGTTTCTATACTTCAAGTAAAAAATTTTTTTGAAAATATAACTTATCAAAATAATATTATTTTATTTTTTATTTCTAGTCAAATGGAAGCAATATGTCCGATTAAACACCATTTTCATTTCGATTTCCAATAATCATTTTATTTATTTATTTATTTATTTTTTGTCATTCATAATATAAGTCTATAAATGTATAGCCATCTTTATTACAGTGCATTTCACAAATAAAAATAGAATGTTTTGTTTTTTTTTTCTTCTATTGAATCTTTTCCATTCAAAAAAAAAAAAAAAGAAAACAGAAAGGAGCATATGTCTATAAAAATAATAATAACAACGAATGGTTGAAGTTTTTTTTTTTTTTTTTGAAAAATAAATAAAACATGAGAATAAAAAACCAACAAACAAAACAAAAAATGAAAACTCGACTACTGTACATAATTATATTAAAGTTATCAATTAAAATGAAAACGAAAACTAAAACCTTGTCCATTTCCACTACCAAATGGACTAAAACCATGAAATGGATTATGGTGTTGAGCTTGTTCTTCAGCATCAAGAGGATCTTCACCAGCATCAAATCTAGCACGTTTTTCTAAATAAAATAATAATATATTTATTTCTATGAAGTTTTATTAATTTAAAATATAAACCTTGATCAGTTAAAACTTCTTTTGCTGCAGCTATATCAATAAACATTTTTTCAGCTTTTTTCTTATCATCACCTTCATATTTATCTGGATGCCATTTAACAGCAAGTTTTCTATATGCACGTAAAATTTCAGCTTTATTAGCTGTTCGTCTTACACCTAATATTTTATAATAATCACGTTTTTTTAATTGTTTTATTAATTTTTCAACACGTTTTATTCCATCATGTACACGATTTGAATCTTCTGTTTCATGTGCATGTTGAAAATCAGCTAATGCAGCTTCATAATTTTCATTTAATATATATGCTTCAGCACGACTAATTAAAACTTCAGCATCTGATGTATGATATGTATCTAATACTTCTGTACATTGTTGAATTGTTTCTATTGCTGAATATTTTCCACGTGACATACATGTACATAATGATGATTGTGCACGATAAACAAATATAGATGATGATGAATCTAAAGAAAGTTTAAGAATTTGACGAGCTTTTTCAATACATTCATTCCAATTTGATTGACTTATTGCATCACGTATAATTTCTAATTGTTTAGCTAATTTTTTTACTTTTATATAATGTATATGACATTCTTTATGATCAGGATCTAATTTAAGACATTCACGAATATTTCTAAACAAAAAAAAACAAAACAAATAAATTAAAGAAAATAAAATATAAATATAAAAATTATTTACATTAAACTATCATCAGCATCACCCATTAAATAAAGTAATTGACTTATTTTAAGAAATGCTTGAGTATTATCAGGTATTAATTTAGATGTAGCTTTAAGATCATTAACTGCTTTTAATGTATCACCTAATGTTAAATAACTATTAGCACGTAATTCACGTAATTTTATTGCCCATGGACAATGCTACAAAAGAATAATTTTCATTAAATTATATTCATAATACAACTTCTATTTTTGATTTTATAAAAATAAGTTAAAATAAGGAGAATACATAGTATATGAGAAATTCACTAGAATGTATGATTGTGATTTATCCTATATGAAGACTAAAGGTTAGCGCTCTTTTGAAAGGGAATACCGAAAACTCAAAGTACAGAATTTCAGTTTGAATTCTTTTCCATATGTAGATCTCATAATCCTTATAACGACTTAAATTTCACAATTAAAATGAATGCTTCTTTCATCTTCAAGAAACACACTCTCATGATAATGCATGCCACGAAAATCGACTTTTTCTGAAAACTTAATTTCTCGAGAGCGAAGCATTCGTTTTAATTGTAATATTTTAGGTTGATATAAGAGTTATGAGATCTACATATGGAAAAAAAATTTCCGATCGAAATTCTGTACTTTGATTTTTTGGTAAATTTCTTGTTATAAATAAAATAAGACCTATGATTAGAGTTCATCGGGTCTAAGAATTTTTGAACTCGGATCCGATGAACTCTATCTGTCGGTCTTGCTTAAGGAAAAAATATCAGCGCAAAAGTTTTGAATCATTTGGGACAGTTTCCTCATAAGACAAAAATTGAAAGAAATCAATAATAGAGATTTCAAAATAATGTTATTCTATTCCCAGAATGTTTCTAATTAAGACCAATAGAAATATTTGATAGAAACAAATAAATTAATTAATCTAAAATTCTTAGTTTTGTGCTATACTCTAATATATATCTATATATATATGATGATTGATATCGTCAGTTTTCGCCATTATCAAAAATTAATTTTCATTTGAATGACTTTTATCTAAATACAATAATTCCCATATTATCATACATAATATTTATCTCATTATCAATTATTATTGTTACTATTCAATTATATCTCCTGTAATCGATCGAGAATGATGATCTGAATCTTCTTCATCTTATAAAAACAGTCAAATAAAATAAGATGATTAATTTAAATCTAACAATTTCAATTAGTTATGATTAAAAACACAAAAGCTGTTAGCGCAATCCTTGCGGGATTAAAATGCGAAACATGACATAGCTACTGTTGCACTCATCATAGGGAAATTAATCTATTCTATCCTATATTAGAACATATTTCTTCAACATCTTTTTACTTAACCTTCCAGAAATACAGTAAATAGTTCATATATTATAACGAGAGATTATTAATATACGGTCTTTGAATGTATAGCAACAACGTCTGTTACAATCTATGACGCGGTGGGTAGGACAGAGCTCATTGGGTTCAAAATTTTTGGCGTCGAACCCTATTGAGTTCGACGCCGGAATCAATCTGATGGGCTCGAGTTGCCAAGGTGTCTATAGGGAGCTGTAAGATCATGTTTAACAAAACTAACCTCAATAACATCTGAAAGAAGTTCAATCGTTTTTGTAAAATCATTATTTTTATATAAATTTTCTGCTTGTTGAACTTTTTCATTCATTTGTACAGTTAAATCAAGTTGATGATGTGCTTCACTATTCGATGAATCCAATTTTAACTTAAAACAAAAAGAAAAATCAGATTCATAGATCAAAAATATTTCATTAAAATTTACATACCACATTTTGAAAATCTATTTTAGCTTCATCAAAATCACCTTGTTTTAATAGGACATTTCCTCGTTGCATACGAGCCTAAAAAAAATTTAAGAAAATAGAATAAATCTATTATAGATAGAAAAAAAAACTTACAGCAATAAAATCTGGTTTAAGTTCAATAACTTTACTCAAATCTGGTAATGCTGATTTAGATTTTCCCATAGCTAAATAAACTGTTGCTCGACGAAAATAAGCAAGATAATTTCGTGGATCCACATCTTAACAAAAACAAAATATTCAAAAAACAATAAAAGATCTATTAAATATAATTTCTTACCAATAGCTGAATGAAAATGTGATAAAGCATCTGATAATTGTCCAGTAGCTAATAATTTTTTTCCTTTTTCTAAATGATCATTAACAATATCATTCGTTTTCATTTCATTTTCATTTCCTTTAACACCTATTAATAATATAAACTTAAAAATTTTCATATAAAAATATTTATTTTTAAATTCTCACAAAGTATTAAGAAATTTGATAGAATACTAAATATGAATAAATATAATCCAAAATTTGTACATCGAAACGTGAAGTGCTCACTGGAGTAGGTGAATATATTTAAAAGCATTTCGTCTAGTGTCGATTATGTGAAAAACAAAAGTCTATAATTCACACCATCGGAAAAAATAGATCTTCTTCATGTAGAGCACCGACCAACGTTGTACAAAATGAATGGTTCATATCAACCAATCATTGATATATTAGCGAAACCTATCAAGATAATTAAAAAAAAATTGTCAATATTTGAATATTTTGAAATCTAGTTATTGGTTTTTTGTTTTTCTTACATTTTTAAAGAAATCTTCTATAGAATAATGAAAAATAATATTATGACCTCTATCGAAAAGAGAGATAACAGAGTAGATATTCAATCGATCGTCTTCGTTAAGTTCATTTAATATTTTACGGACATTCGGTATGATGAAAATCAATAATAAATGGTGAATTGCTAAAATGCACCAATATTCATATTTAGTCTTCAAAGTTCTCTGACCGAATGAACGTGTTTGATCGAAAAAGTTAATTCAGATTTCATGGATTTGCCAGAAATGAATTAAATGTAATGCACCTTGATCCATTAATTAAAATGATGAATGTATTTTGATAAAGTTGCTCTAAATATTCATCGATAGATATAGAATATAAGTGAATAGAGGAGGCTGAAGTATAAGAATAAGCAATACTTAAAGAATCTGTAGTTGAAAGAAATAAGTTAGAATAGTAGTCAGTCATTAATTATTAGAATTCGACTACATTATAATGGCCATTTCTCAGTTCTGATTGATGCACTTGCATTCAAACGTGTAGACAAGGTCTTAGTTTGTTTATTTTACAGATATTTGGATATGATAAAAATCAATAATAAATGATGAATTGTTAAAATGTACCAATATTCATATTTGGTCTTCAAAGTTCTCCGACCGAATGAAAGATATAGAAAAAAAAAACAAAAAGAAACTTTTTAATTACTTTATTCGTTTTACATTAATGATTCTGTTTTTTTTCATGTATTGATTTAATCCTGTTCTCTTTCTTTCTTTGCCCTTTGTTTTTTTTCAAAAAACATTAATAACGACAATTGGTTGTGAAGTACAGTATAATAAGAATGATCACATTTATAATAACGATTTCAATGACAGTCTCTTATTAATGGCTAATCTTGTCGAAGAAAAGTCACCCTTAATCGGCATTGCCAATAGGGATTTCGTAAGTGATGAACTAGTTTTATCAAATAATATACCTCTTCAAACACGATCATCAAATTTACATTGTCATGTATCGGATGATAAATTTGATTATAATGCACGAAATCGTCTTATTATTGTCTTTGTTCTCTGTGTTATTTTTATGATCATTGAGCTTGTTGGTATGTTCGTTGATATAGAATTTAAACAGAAAAAAAAATTATATATATATATATTTATTTAGGTGGTATTATTTCGAATTCAACAGCAGTAGCAAGCGATGCAGCACATATGTCTATTGATGCAGTTAGTATTCTTATATCATTAGTATCAATATATTTAACTAGAAAACGACCAACACAAAAACTGTCATATGGTTATATTCGAGCAGGTTTTAATAAATATTTTGATTTTTTTCAATGATTAATGATGTTGAATTTTTTTCTTTTTTTTCAGAAGTTCTTGGAGCACTTTTAAGTGTTTTGACTATATGGATAGCTAGTGGTATTCTTGTTTATATGGCAATTCTTCGTTGTATTGATCAAACTTTTGAAATAAAGCCAACTGAAATGATTATTGTTTCAGCATTTGGTGTTTTTTTCAATATAGTGTAAATACAAGAGATATATTCTTGCTATTTAAAAAACTTCAAAAAAAAAAATTTTTGTTTTCCGTTTCATTTAGAATGTTTGCTGTATTACATTTTGATATATGTTCTCATGGAATTTCTCATCATGGACATACTCATAATCATAATCATAATCATTTACATGACGATCAATCATCAGTTATGAATATTGAATCTCAACATGAAAATTCTAAACAAATAAAATCATCAGAAAATATTAATGTTCGAGCAGCTATAATTCATATTGCTGGTGATTTTCTTCAAAGTATTGCTGTTCTAATAGCTGCTATAATTATTAAAGTTAAAGTATGTTGAAATAATTAAAGAATATTAAAATTTATAAGTTTTTTTTTTTCTATAATGAATTATTTTAGCCTGAATATAAATTAGCTGATCCAATATGTACTTTTATTTTCTCAATAGTAGTTGCTATAACAACATTTACTGTAATGCGTGATATTATTTTTGTTCTTATGGAAGGTTTATATATTTTAATTTTATTCTTTTAATTTTCATATTTTGCATATATATTTAGCTGTTCCATCAAATGTTAATTATACAAAAATAACTGATGATCTTCATCGATTGTCAGGTGTTCGTAATGCACATAGTTTACATATTTGGTCATTATCAATGCAAAGAACAGCATTATCAGTTCATTTAGCAATAGGTATGATATTTTGTATTTCATTAGTATTGATATATTTTATTAGAAAAATGTTTTTTTTAGATAATGAACATGATCATTTAACAGTTTTGAATGAAGCTCAAGAAATGCTTCGTCGTCAACATTCGATAACAAGAGTAACAATTCAAATTGAACCATATGATGAATATATAATGAATTCATGTGAAAATTGTCGCCAACTAGACAGTAAATAATATACCATCGATAGTGGTTTTTTTTGTGAATTTAAATGCTATTGATAATAGGATTTGATGTATTCTCTGTTGTGGTTTTTTTAAATTATACAACAGAATAAAGACTACGAACATTTTTTATGGATTAATAAATTATGTAATGATTATATGTAAATAAATACTTAAAAATATATGTGAAGAATATCCAGCTCTCTTTCATGACCCAAAATTTTAGATTTTTTGTAATTATTGTGTATAGTCTGAACTTTTATCTATTCAAAAATTATCTTAAAAAATTCGAAAATTGTACATTGTTTCGCGTTTTTCTCAAATCAACTTTTTCATCAAAAAAAAAAAGGTACAAAAACACCCTCGTTTCTCCCATCTAGTGCATCCGATTGAGCTGATACTTTTGCCATATTTCATGAATCCCCGAAAATGCGGGGGAGAGGGCAGAGATATCTTCAAAATAAAATTACTTGAGAGAGAGAAAAGAAAATAATTTGAATGAGAGTATTAGATGAAATGGCTTATAGGGACTTGTGATAATTACAAAAAAAATAGACTTATATATATATTTCTACTTGATGAAAAATATATTAAGCACTAGTCGAACTGCGTTGTAGCTGAAGATTTTCATAGATGCAATAAAAAACTACTAAATTGACATGAAGGTATTTTGTCCTTATCTTATATGATATTCAGATAAAAATTTATGAACAGAAGAAATATGTAATTAGAAAGCAATACATTTAAAATATTAAGTTATCTAGATTATTAATAAGATGTAATAATCTTGAATATATATGACTATTCAAAAAAAATCACAACACTTTTCTATACGACCAATCAAATAATTTGATTGATAATTACGTTCGATAGATGATTGTCATTGATTATTTTTTCACTAGGTTTCTTTTGTATTTAACTATTTATCATAGACATACTTTTGTTATTTTTTTTTGTCCTTGTCATTTTATTTTGAATGATAAAAAGATAAGTAAAGGTAATGCGATGTAAATAAAAACTTATGTTAATATTAGAATTGGCAAATGTATATATATATGACTGGAATAATCTTTTTTATGTTAGTAGATAGAAAAAAATATTCGAGATTTTCATATTAGATTCAAAGTCTTTTTTTTTTCGTAAATGTATTCCATGTAATTATTATGAAATTTCAATGAAGATTTTTATTATATCATAAGGATAAATTTTTTCAAGCAAGAAAATTTTTTTTTTCAAATGATAATAATAAGAATTTAAAATGTATAGTTCTTTCAGATGGATGTATTTGTTAATATAAATCCAATCTGTCATGTCAAATAAATATTGTTGAAATAATCATAGAAAAAAAAAGTAATATTTCTTTCGATCAATGTACATTACTAATAACTTATATAACGTCGGAGGAAAAAAATTATGTGATAAACATTACCGATGACTATTCACTAGCAACAAAAGCTTTTTTTTTATCGCATGATAAAGTTTCCCTCTTACATCATATTTATCTCTTCTCGTCGTCATGTGGCTAATAATAAATTTGATTATTCTGTACGAAATTGTTTTGTCACTGTTCTTATTCTTTGTATTATTTTTATGATCATTGAGATTGTTTATGATGTTCGGTTATATCATATTTACTCAAAAGAAAAAAAACCAAGACGTTATATCTATTAAATGGTGTTCTTTCGAATTCAACAGCAGTAGTAATCGATGCACCGCATATGTGTATTGATTAAAGATGTGCGAGATCAAGTCTTTTTAGTCTCGATCATAGTCCTGTTAAATTTAGTTCGGCTCCGACTTACGACGGAGGTACCCGAAGTGATTCACCGCTTTAGAGCCCATTATTTGGGCACATCGAGGGAACATCTAAACTAGAATAATCCTAAAAGGATTTGAGCTCATGGCCATTTTGAGCTGAGATATTGAATTTTCGTTGACGATATCGCTATTAACCTATGTGAACGAAACAATATAACATAATTGAATTCTCTTATTCACAATCAGTTGTTATCGCCTCAATTTATATCTATGATCAAGTATGCATGGTTCGCATCAGGATACGTCTATTAGCATCCAGGAGATTTTCAATTTGTCAATGAAGTTTGCTTCAATGTTGATACTGATATTTGTCAACAGTCGAATTATCGCACATTATGCTTTATTCAATGTAGTCATTGTCGTCTGCTAATCTGCTTTGAACATTTTTTTGAAGCTTATCACTACCACAATTAAAAGTCTGTTGTCTTTGAGTATGATGCTATAATTCTTTAAAAAATAATATCTATAAAACTTTATTTTGTTCGCTCTAAGGTTTTCAAGAGAACGCCTGTGGCTTACAGAAATGAGATAAAATTTCACAGTAATTTGCTGACGAAACAGTGAGTTTATTATGAAATTTCTAGATAACAGAACATTTTTGTGTTTGAAATTATCGGAATAAAGGATCAAAATCCTTCTTACCTGCTAAAACTTGAAAATTCAATATCTCACCTCAAAAGGGCCATGGGTCCAAATCCTTTTAGGATTATTCTAGTCTAGATGTCCCCTCGATGTGCCCAAAGTATGGGCTCTAAAGCGGTAAATCACTTCGGGTACCTCCCTCATCAGTCAAACATTCATACGTGGGTTGCATATCGGAAATGTTATCGAAAACTTGACGCTGCGTGGAATAGATTATCAATAAATCTTATTCTTCCAGCTGCTCAAATACGTTCGCCACCTTTTAGACAAGCACATGAGTGTGCGATATGTTTCGAATCTCAACGGGATTTCCTTTGCATTCCTGGTGGTCATTGAGGTTCCTGCGAAGATTGTGCCGATAAGATTATTCAAGATAATTCTTCTTGCCCATTTTGTCGAGCATCAATCACTGGCAAACAACATGTGCATGATGTTTGACTTTTGAGTCGAGGGTGTGGTTGCCGATGTTAGTGTCTTTTTTTCTTCTGATACTGATAACTTCGCACATCAACACCTATAATCACCCATACCCAGACCCAAATCCGGAATTTCAATATTTTTTATCTATGCTTATGTAAAAAATATAGTTAACAAAATAGATTTTTCTCTTTTTTTGACATTATATAATGCATCTGTTTGGTATATCAGAGAGTTCAAAAACATCTTATTTTTTTTTGGAATTTGTTTTGATCTTCAAAATGACCAAAGAAAATATATTTCGATAAATAAATTTTATTATGTATTATAAAAACATGTAAAACATATGAATGATAAGTCGAATTATTAAAGAAATGATCTATCGAAAGAAGATATTTAGGAAGGATAAGACAAGTGAATAGACGTCAATTTTCGAAATCTACTTAATGAACATACAAATAGTTTCTTATTTAATTCTTGTATGATATTAATTAACAACTTGACTAAAATAATGAATAACAGGTAATCCTGTTATCAAGGTTTTCAATAAAATAAATATTGAAAATAAAAATATACATATGTCAATGATAAATGTGTTATAAACATTTGGCAACGCTGAAATAAAAAGTTCTTCATGTATACACAGCGGCGTAGGGAAGGGAGTGGCTGAGGGGGCTTTAGCCCCCCCCCCCCTCAGCTTTTGGATAGATACCTCTAAAGTTAACGCTGAAAGTGAAAGTTATTAGTAAAAGTAGAACTGTACATTTTCTTTGTCGTTTCCTTCCAATGTGCGACGCTATCTATCCAGTTTGTCATCACAGATTCAAATGCATGGATAAATGAACAGACTATTGTACAGCTGATGCTTTACAGCTGTTTTAAGTGAGGAACAGCTGTTTCGGCACATATGCAGTTTAACCATATCATCAATATATATACAAAGACACAATAGAAAAAAAATTTATTGGCTAATAAGTGTCTTTGTATATATATTGATGATGTGGTTAAACTGCATATGTACCATTCATTTTGAATATGAGTGAGAAAAAGCAAACAAATCTTTTACGTGACCTCTTTGCACGCGTTGAGAAACGTCAACGATTACAAGATACAAATAATAATGCTGAAGTCACCAATCAGGACCGTAGGCAGGGGGGTGGCTGGGAGGGCTTTAGTCCCCTCCCCCTCCTAAGGAGAAAAATCCCCTGGAGAGGGGTACGGGCATATTATTTTCGCCCAGCGGGAAAGGTTGTTTTGGTCATGTTCAACCCCTCCCCCTCAGAAAATTTTCGGCTACGGGCCTGTCACCAATGCAGAATCGATTATCACAAACGACTCACTACCAGTTGATATCTGTTCGTCACCTGCATCATTAATTCACGGTGAAAATCAGTCACAACAAGAGCAGGAGAATGTCAATAGAGATCTCATCACTTCCTCCAATACTTAAATGATTACTCGTATTAGCACGTCAATCGATCTTGATTACCAGTTCCAGAAAAATGTGAGTTTCATTCTTCTGTATTTTTTCATTTTAAAGATTTTGCTACATTTAGGATGTGGAACTTTACTTTGGCAAAGAGATTGCCAGGCATGATCCTCCACGTGCCTACGAAATGCTAACAGAGCATTGTGTTCCATCGACTTCGTTTAAATTTCCAATGATCACTATCAATGGACAAAAAAGATCCGTATGTGTGCAAGAATGGTTGTTAAAATACAATTGGTTATCGTACTCATCGAAGCTTGAAGGTGTCTTTTGCCGGTATTGTGTCATTTTTGGTCGCATTTGGTCATCGTCGAATCATGCTCGAACTGCGCTTGGACAGTTGGTGACAAAGTCGCTTCGCTCGCTTAGGGACGCTACCACTTGTTTCAGAGGTCATGAAATGACTAAGTATCATCTCGACTCCATTACTCAAGCCCATGAATTTCTTGCTCGATACAACAATCCATCGAAAGACATTGGTCGATTGTTATGTAGCGCCGATGAACAATAACAACTCGAAAATCGAAGGATTCTAGTAAGAATTTCACACTGCCTTTTGTTTTTGGCGAAATAGAACTTGGCTTTACGAGGTCATGACGACGATGGCCTACCAGATGAAGATAACAGGAGTCAAGGTAACTTTCGA